GAACAGTTACATGTTATTTAAAATTTATCTTGCTTTAGAGATTTTACTTTAGCAAATTGGGAGCATTAATACAACTCTCGAATAGTCCATTTTGCGCTTTAGCTATGGATAACGGGCGCAAGATATTCCTAACCATTACATTAAAACGTGACCGATATAATATGTACGGACTATGAATAAAAAATATCATAAGAAAAATTTTGCCGTAGTCAGTTCGCATTTTCAGTTTGAAGACACCATTCCAAAATTTGTTTTTGAAATGCAACAAATGGTGGTAAACAACATGATAGAATAATATGAATCCAACAAGTAGTTTATACGTGAATTACACAACCACATACAGTGAGTGCCAAAATTCTATTTGTAACGACAAACCGAGACGGGGTATATTTAACTGCCACCCATAAACTGTCAAATAGGTAAGTACTGTCATGACATTAACATACAAACGCTGTATAATCAAATCAGAGCGTGAAGGGCTTCCTCTAGCTAGAGAATGGACTTAATATAGTGCTTTGAATATTCCGATCATCCTAACGATCCATTAATCTCCATTTTTTTTATGTGACTTGTCAAATAACTTTACTACTAAACCAAAATTTAAAATCACTATAATGATGATATTAAATCAATTATATTGTAGAGGCCCCAGAGTAAACTTTAATGGTCTAACATTTCGGAAAAATGACGTCCAAAATACTTTATCTAATAAAAAATGACATAATGTTCAAAAAGAAATAGCGGATATTCAGGCTCCATTCTGATATAATTAAAGTCCCTTTATTAAATCTAGTTGATAACGTTCTAATTAAACGGCGAGATGAAGAGCGAATTGCGATTGATGAATTTGAGGAAAAAGGAATTTTGAGTTGTCAGGTATTCAGAATAAGAAGCCCTAGATATCAGAAGTGAGCTTATGTACGTATAGGACGTAACCAAAACCATTCGCTAGAACAGGAAAATAAATATAGCAGATATGTCGTGACATTTACCTTAAATTGACCTTTTCCCGTCGTGCGACCTATTTTAGGAGAGCTAGGGATTGGGAATATATGAAAAAAGTAACTGCAGGTCCATTGTAAGAAGCGGCAACAATGGATAATTTGAAGTTACGTTCAAAGACATCCCTCGAACCGGCAATTCACATAATTTGAAGAAATTACATTTCCGAGAATAATTACGCGTTTGTTTGCGATTCCTCAAAACAAACAATCCGGTTTCAGGAGCGACAGTGTTGCTGTGCCTACAGCAAAACGGTCACCGAATCGGAGCCACGAATAGATACATTTCTGGGATAGAGAAATTCACTACTGTTATAGATCACCGTAACCACGGGATATTTAGAGAGCGTAATTTGTGACGATATGAAATTTGTAGTAATAAAATCTGTAAATGCTTCCTAGGATAGATTTAGATTAGCCGTATTATGGCCGTATGTCACACGCGTATCACATAGTAGCCCGTAGATGTAAGAATTTTAATATCTGCCCAGTAGTTTCCGAGGCTATATGCTGCAAACGAACAATCAAATATTACCTCTCTATAATTGTACTAATAATGTTAGGTAATTAAAACTCTTTTATATTATATTTCGCTATAATCGCATAGATGGGCAAATGTCGATTAATCAAATCTTGCAAAGTTTGCGAATTTAACACATTTGAGTGTCACAGTGTCACGCGTGCGGACCGCGGAGTTGCGCATGCGTCGATCGCCACACGTGGGGGCGGGCGCCATAAAACTACGCACACACGGTAGTAGTAGTATTGATTCAATACATATTGATCGCATGCATCAAAAAATTAATACAGAACTAAACCAAGTTATTTCCCTGAAATATAAGAAAATTGGATCTTGCAATTTAACTATCATTTTTGGTAAAAAATACAAAACAAAAGTGATTATTACGTGTCTCAGATATTCTATTCCTGTGTCATTTCGAAACTCACATCACTTATGTCACTAAACATTATTACCAATTCAAGATTGAGCGATTGCCGCTTTTTGTAATGAATTTGGACACACGAGTGAATTTAAAATCGGGTTTGGATTTTTATAGAATCGCAGGGCAGCAGTTAAAATATTTTTCGCTTTTAAAAGGTCTATTGACGATTCATCTGTCAGCAGATATGCACTTAAACCTTCGAGGTTTTAAATAAAGTTGTCCTGATTTGCATATTGTCGTAAAGTTGTCCTGAATAGCAACCCAACTATATTGAACATTTAACAATCAGTTCCCTTACAAGAGTAATTTCATGTTTTGTAATTATGTTTTCAAATCATATTATACGGAAGTTATGTTACTGTTAGATATTAACACGGGAGCTCGTGTGTAATGAGCCTTAAACATTCACTCCGCACAAACAACATCTTTAGTAAGATTACGACACCACCACGTACCAAAACATGAACCGTTACATCGGGAATGTATAAAAGGCACCGTTTCATAAATATAAATGTTTGCTGGAAAAAATAAATGGACGGTCGACTTAATAATATCCCACCGGATTATTATCAATGCCAAAAAAAAATAGAGCTATTCCTTCTGGTTGGAGCAAATCCTAGCTTATTCATTAAATAGAAGTGGCTATTCTGTTATAACTCACTCAGAGAGTAACCGTTAGTCTAACGTTTCTGAAGCAACTTTAGCCTTCAAGACTCAACAAATGAAACTCATCTACACATCACAATTGGCATTCCATTAGAATTACTTGTATTTAAAAACAAAGTATAATATATTGTGAATATCTAAAATAAATTATTTGTACGACCAAAATTTCAAATAAAAATATATCGATGACAGCTATAAGTAGAATAAGTGTTGATTGACCAACTGGAACATCGAAAGGCAAGCGAAAATTTCCCAAGCCGACATAAAGTACCTTCAGCTTTTGTTTTTACAATTTTTTTTAAACAATAATCATTACTTACATATCGTGAGTGTTTATACAGAAAAAAAACGTAAAAGCTTTCGCATGCGTCTGACATGATTATTATATCAGCACGTTAACGTTAAACACGTGGAGTTTATTTGATTACGATCATCACTCGGCACAAACCCTCAGAATTATGCAAAAGACAACCGTGTTGTACACACGAATATAGGCTACGTGCAAAATAGTTGTTTACGAGCCACGGATTACATAAATGAGATCTATATATATTCATACATGCACTTTCCATTCCCGAATTCATGACACATTTACACACTCCAGCGACTAAGGGCAACCCAAAGATAATTTTCGTTCACTTCTCGCTCTCGAATCTCGTCGTACATACATTAGCAATTACATTATATCTCACTGTGTATATCATCAGACAGTATACAAAAGTTCCGTTAATTAAACTACCGTAACCTAGCAATTAACACAAAAGAACGTTTCTGCCGCTATGATAATGCATTAGATTTTTGGAAAAACTTATTCAATTTGGAGATGGTTATAAATTTTAACACTGTATTTTGGAAATGTATACGTAACAGTTCAAACTATAGGAATGCTTAAGAATAAACGGACTCGTTAAAGTCGGTATTATTTAGAGCTAAACGAATTAATGTGAGGTGCAAAAATTATAACAGTTTTACATCTACAATTCGAAGCTACAATTCGTAGACATAAATGCAATACCATACAGTGGTGCCAATTATGTTGTACCACCATAGAGTGGTTTATAGAAACTAAATTAGAATATAAACATTCTAAATTTAATTTAGGTTTGTTTAAACGTTATTATAATAAAAAATAGTAATAAACAATACTCTTGTTCTTGTACACTTTAATTATTTAGTTTACTTCCGTTAACTTACTTATTTTCACAATTGAAAATGCAGTTTTCGCTATACCTATTGATAACGACATATTTACTACTGTACATATTGATATTGAATTGATTTAGCACGTATAGTATTAATTGTATTATACTTTCATTATTTAGATCGATATACAAAAATTAACCCTTAATAATATTCAAATGCACATTCCGTCTAATTAATTGACTATTCAGTTTTATAGTTTATAGTTTCTTCGATATTAAACTGAAATATATGACAACTGTTAAACAAACAAATAAATTTGTGAATAACAAAAGTTTAGATATGTACAAGTTAATAATTTATCTAAAGGAATATATATTACTGTAAACATTCCTCGTTTAACTTTTGAAAATTAAGATTTTAATTAGTAATTTTTAATTTAGAAGATTTGATTGTAATAATGTACATATTGTTCTATTATTGATTATAATTTTTAATTACTCAATCCATAGAACGATGCTAATGAATTGCAATTCATTTTAGTCCTAATCTAATTCTAGTAAACGTTAAAATGAAAGAGTTCCTAGTCAATTATGAGAAAACCCCTTATAACAAAAACCCTATAAAAGGTAAAAGTTTTTTTTTTACTAAAACCACAATAAATAAAACAAATTTAATTCAACGTTGTGAAACTAAACTCGGCAAAATAAAAGTTCTGCTTATAGTAGTTTTTTGTTTTTGATTCAGGTATTTTTGTTTTATAAATGATGCTAATCCCATCCTACCTACATACGATCAAGTTCGTATCAATGTTTTAAAATATCATGATATTTTAATAATATTAATCTCTATCATAATTTTTTGTGTTACGATTTTTATTTTATACTTTCATTGTAAACACATTCGAAGAGTACCAAAGGAAAGCATAAATTAATAATAAAAGTAATTAGCGAGCCACATTGACACACAGTGATTATGATTAATTTGCGAGGCAGTGGAGGTCGCGAATACATATGTAAGTTACTTAGAAGTGTCTGTCAACTAGAATTAGTAACCACGTGTTATGAACCGACCAGACTCTAGACTAATGGTACCAGGTCCAAAATTTGTTAATAAAATCGATCCAAAATGTTCGAAACGAGATACACAACAAACAGTTTAGGCGCAATTTTACTGAAAGTCCAAATCCATGAAAAACTGAAGGGGTGCCGAGGCGATTTCTGCTCAAACCAATATGGTGGTGTCATACCGTCGCAGTGCCTGCAGCGCTTGGGCTCCGGGGGTGCGAGCTCGTCGCCGAGTTCGCGGTGTCGTACCGGCATGGCGGCGCATCCCGCGCCGGCGCCGCCACCACCAGTGCGTCAGTATGGCTCGCGCGCTCCACCTCGGCCGCTCCTGTAGCGGCGGCGGCGTCGCGGCTGCCACTGAGCTTGCCCAGCGCCGCCCGCCCCGGCCGGTAGGCGGCGCCCATTCCCAAACTATTTTGGGCGGCTGTGACTCATGGCTCAAACGGCCAGCGGCGCCCGCGCATCTGAGGCTTTACGTTCAGCGGCTAAGCCTACGTTGCTTTCTAATGCAGTACATTTCGTCAACCTACTTCTTGGCTATCCTTAAATTTTCCTATATTTAAATTAGCCAGTGTAAACATCCCCCGGGAGTATCAAGACTTATAAACATCACTGTGCTAGAACCGTAAAGTGCGTGTAAACGAAAAATTACTAACTTCCAAATTATTTTGGACAAAAGATAAGGTCGATTAACTGTAATCAAGAACAAGGTACAACCAAAAGGTGAATTTATAATATTATCTCGTAAGATATATCGAAATATATCGAAGTTTCCCTTAAAACTCGCATTTTTTCCATTTCTTCTCGTAATTATACTCTTTATTTACAGGTAAAATTGATAAATACGGGAAGAATTTTTGGGGTCTACTACTATTTACATAATCATTCTTAGAATAGTCTTAATGATTTACGGGTAATAAAACTTAGTTAATAATTAAAAATACTCTGACGCGCAATACGCTATATTTTGTCTATCTCATTAATAAGCGCATTGATCTCATCTCGTCCTCTCATTTGTCTTAACAATTTTTTATTTACAAAACAATAATACTCAATTGAAACCTTAAGAAAAGGTAAGTAAAAAAGCTATGAGACTGCTTTCTACTCATTTTTTTTCCTCTCTGAGCAGACGTGAGGTGATGCCGTTTCTATGCAATTAAAATTCATAATACAAAATAAACAGAAATTATCATACTTTGTTTATATTATGTATCCATTCACTTAGCACAATGATTTTGAGATTTTATTTAAGCATTCGTAGCATGTTACAGGAATTTGTCGTAGGTAATAAAAGGTGCAAATACCCTATTATTTATATTGGTTTTCCATTCCCACAGTATCGAGACCTAGTATTCCGGGATCCCGCGTAATTTTTCAGTCCCGCAATCCTGACTGGATTACAAGAAGCTGCTAATACAAGAAAAAAGAAATTACTCATTCTACATCCCTTTATTTCGCTTTATATATCGTGTAGTGCAAAGGTTCCCAAACAATTCTTTCTCGAGACCATTTTAAAAAAAAATACTGGTTTGGGTGTGGACTCTACTGCTACATTTTTACCATATTCCCAAAATTCGTCCAAAATGTGAAGATCTAACGATGGAAATTGGCGCCCTATTTTTATTTCACGCCAACGTAGCCCTGCGTTGAATCCCTGGTGGATCCCTGGGGATCCACCTGGACCACTAAGGGAATCACTGGTGTAGTGTATTTTTGTTTATAATATATTTTTCAATAATAATATCGGGTGCTAACAAGTTAGCTACAAATATTTTAAGAGACCAGTAATTGGGAATTGTCTAATATCAATATCTATCACAATATTTCTCAAAGATATGTTGATTGAGATAGCGATTTGCAGAATCATGTAACTTTTAAAGTCGTAAACGCTTTTGGAACGAATGTTGATTAGATTGATCAAGAAATATAAGAAAAACTTACCTAAACCTGTCGAAAAACTACAGGTTTGATTTGACATTTCTCAAAAGCTTTCGAAAATAATTGCTTCTAACGCTTGCCCATAACAATCCAATTAATAATATTGTTCATTCCTAAAAAAATCCTGATCCCAATCACTCTGACATGTCTTATAGATGTAGTGAGAAGTTCATGAATTTCTTTCAATTGTCAAATTGAAAAGGACTGCGATAGATTCTCTGCTACCTTTCATTAAAACAATTAAGTTTAAATAGGAAATACATTTAACATTTCAGGCTAATGACAGGATGTTTTGCATAGCAACATTTGTTTCCCAGTTTTCTCAAAAAAAACATAAAGCCTATAAGGAATTAGATTTTTATTTATCTAAATAGAATTTTCCAACATAACCCAGCCAAATTAGATGAAGAATAAATGTAAACAAAGCAAATTAGAGTCATCACAACTTAGACAACAAAAAAACTTATTACTAACCAGGATTCTGCACATTACTTAGTAATTTTATGAGTAATATTTTTTAATGCCATAAATTACCAGAAACACTCATAAAACTTCAATATTTTGACAAAAAATGGAAAATAGTAATAAAACTCAAATGATTTTAACTTGACAGCCCTATTACTTATAAAAGTTCAGATATTAGTAACCTGTTTCCAGTTTTAAACTAACTTTCGAAATAAAGATGTCAATTATTTTAAAACATGTTTCTTTAGATTGACTCCATTTGAAATCGATCGCATAATGTAAGCCGACCCTGTGTGAGAATTAGGTATTCCTTTCTACTGTTTAAAATGACAAAAATATATTTTATTTAATATAATAATGTTTCTATAGCATTTATAGTATTGTGAATTGATTGCATTATTTATAAATAGCAACTTTATGAAGTATTAGTATACATCAATAAATATAAAAATTGATATTTCTCTGGTTTTTGCTTACACGTGACATGTTCCTTGTAATCTTAAGACATTGCCCATTAATTTACAAAGATTAGATAATTTTCATTACATAATTTTATCTAAATTCGTTAGAATATTTGATGAAGTAGTATCTCGAATTCGAAAAAAATATAATGTTGTCTAGTTTAGAAAGGTTATTAATATCTGCCTGTCACTGGTTGCTAAGCATCATTGTTAGTAAACATTCTTCATTGAATTTGGCTGTAGTATACAATAAAATATACAAGTCCAGATTAAAAAACTATCTTAATCCTCTGGCCGTACAACTTAGCATCAGACTGCATCAACAGATTGAAACATAGTAACATTTCGGGTCACCATGTCTAAGAAGAAGCTTAGTGATGATTAGAGAAGTGCTCCCAAAAGCAAAACGCTTGACTCAATATTAATGGCACACCACCCATATGCACATAGTAACAAACAGATAGAGACTGATCACATATTGATACAGAACAAAATTAAATTTTTTGTAACTTATTCACATTCTGAGCAACATATCTATGATATTATTAAAAATATTGCTTGATGTTCACTTCTATCTATAACAAATTCTATTTATTCTGTCAGAAGAAAAATATTAGATATGTTTTTTTTTAACTTCAATCCTCATCTTCAACATCTCTATTGTGCAACTTTTCTTTAAATTTTCCATTTGTTAAAGAAAGTGAAACTAGCACTAAAAAATATACTAAATGAATTAGGTATATGGCAGCTTTTAAATTAGCCATCCAACATTACACTAGAGAACTAGTCTTGCAATGAACTTACTATCTGTCTAATTGTATACCTGTTTTAACCTGTTGGCTGCTACACTTATAATGTGTTATAATATTTATTAGTATTGTCAAACACCCTTGTTGAAATTATTTTCATAACAAATTGATTTATTTAATTGTTCAGTGCATATGAATTTCAAAAATAGTACTATGACTAACAATTTCTATTTCATACTGAACAGCTCAGTAGGTCTGATTCAAACATGCATTTTGCTAAAGTGGTGCCAACCAATTATCAGAAACAGATTTGAGATAAAGAAAACAAAGGAAAATGAGAGTGAACATTAATATGACAATATTTCTAATCAGACAAAACAATTTGCATCAATGTTGATAAAAATTGGAGGCAACTTAATATGGTATATTTAGAACTGTTATTAAAAATATTAAAAGTTACTCATTATAGATTACGATTAAATTGTTCATTATCTATAAATATTTTCAAGGTAAATTTACCATTTCTTATCAATGATACATTGTGATGATAAAGGCAACAGAACAAATAAATGTGCAATTTCAACCAAAATACTTAATTTATTCATACAGATACAACTTTTTCACATATGTAGTTCAACCGTAAAGGATAATAATAGGTAACATCTATTTGATGCGTAGTGTCTGGTTACCGCATAAAATTAAATCCATGACAGTTGGGTAGGCTCGTGACTATTCAAATACCATATTAAAAAACAGCATAATAAACATTTGATATCATTTAAATTATTTTAATCTTTCAATGCAAAAGAAAATTTTAAAGCTTAATAAGATAAACAAAATCTTACACGATTATCAAAAGACGGAACAGATTGATAGTTCCAATGGGCGGCTTTGAAAACTTACCTTTGTTTATGATCTTGATAAGATTTTCTTAATCCCAAATGTTAATTTAGGATCCTTTTTTAAGTAGGCATTCACTGAAATTCCATCACTCCACGTCACTATCTTAACGTAACACAATTAAAGAAATAAATAGACAGACTGGATACTTTTCTGCCATTTTGAATATTTCCAAATACTATGTCAAAACTGACGGTTCTTGACAGTCAAATAGCCAATCAACATTGTCAACAATTTATTCATTTTTTTTTTATTGGTGCTGTTTTCACTACAAGCTTATGGGTCATAGACAAATTCATAGATTTTTTGACTATTTTAGAAAAGGCGAAGAGAACTGAATCCGTACAGCCATGGCTGTCTGTTTTGTTGTATTCAAGAACTTTAAATATAGTATGTATCTATTATGACATAGGGTACGGTAATAGTTATTTAAGATACGAGTGCGGAAAGTAAGGTTTTACGAATAAGGGCCAAATTGAAAACACGAGCGTAGCGAGGGTTTTCACTGGCACGAATTCGAAAAACCTTTTACGCTCAAGTTTCTTACAACATTTTTCAATGCTTTTTGCGAGGAAATAAAACAAATATATAGGTAAATATATAAGTTAACTAAGTATGTTAAAAGGTAAAAATTATTTGTTAAAATTAAACGTGATATTTGAACATGTTTTCGTGTCATACATTTTTATTAGAAAATATTCGTTCTAGGCTCCTTGAAATACTTTTGCCTCTAAAGTTTGACATATTTTCATCAAGTTTTGCCAAAAAAAAAAAAAATACTTTTAAGCACGTGTGCAGTAAAGGATTTCAGTACATTTTTATTTAATACGTGTTTAAAGACTCACT